TTACCATGGACACTTGGTCCGGTTGCTTAGCGCTCATGAGTTGGGGTAGAGCATCAGGCAGGGGCACACAGCTAAGCAAGACCATTCACCACATGGCAGCCAGGAAGCCAAGGGAAAGAGGTAGAGGAAGGGGCTGGGGTAAAGCGTATGCTTCAAGGGGACACCCCCACTGGCCTACCTTCTCCAACCAGGACCCACCTCCCAAGGCCTCCACCTCCCTCTTTTGTCATCAGGAGCATTGGCACATGCGACTTTGGGGGCAGTCCACATGCAAAGGATATGGACATCAAGAGGAGGAACGGACTCTGGGAAGAAGGGGATGAAAGTTCACATACACTGCCACACTCTTGCCTCTCCCTCGCCCGCCCTCCACGGTGACCCCCCCAACCCCAACCTTGGGTCTAGGAAGTTGTAGCCAGACCACGCCTCTCCCCCGCCTGCCCTCCACGGTGACCCCCCCACCCCAACCTTGGGTCTAGGAAGTTGTAGTCAGACTACTCTGCTGCTTGCTATTTTTCTTTGCTTCCCACTTTCCCCTAAGCCCTGTCACATGCAACTCTCTCCCTTTCTGGTTCCAGAAAAGTCAGATCTGAGATTCTGGCTCCTGGCTCCTGGCGATCACCCGCTTATGTTCTAGAGTTTCTTTCCTGTTTTTTTGTTTTCTTTTTAAAACTCTAAATATGTAAAAACAAGTTTTCTAGGGGCTGGAGACACGGCTCAGAGGTTAAGAGCACTGGCTGCTCTTCCAGAGGACCTGGGTTCAATTCCCAGTACCCACATGGCAGCTCACATCTGTCTGTAACTCCAGTTCCAAGGGATCTGATACCCTCACATAGACATACATGCAGGTAAAACAACAATTATATATATATATATATATATATATATATATATATGTGTGTGTGTGTGTGTGTGTGTGTGTGTGTGTGTGTGTAAGAGAGGGGAGAAGGGGAGGGAAAGAGGAAGAAGGACGGCACTCATGACTAGAAAGTAAGTGACTGTAAGGCAGATACCTACTCTAAGTGTCCTCTAGGTTGAAACATGTTTGGGGAGCAAAGGTCCATGTGTTACTGGTGAGTCAGGAGAGATGGGGACGGTGGGGAGAAGCTATGTGCTGAAACTCAGCACTAACTCAGATCTTCTTCTCAACCCAGTGGGAAGTGGTTTTAAGTTGGTGAGGTGGGAGGGTAACAGGGCTGCATTGCCTACATTAAAACATCATTCTAGGCATGCCTAACTTTTCAGAGTAGTTATTGTTTTGTTTTGCTACGCCCTTCTTCCCAGAACTTGTGTCTTGCCCTGCCTGGATGAGCTTGTGATGTAGCGGTAGCTACGCATGTGACCCACATTCCGGGACACAGTCATTGGTCAGGGTGGGTGGGTGAGACAGGCTCAGGAGGGCCCTTCTGCAGGTACCCAGTGTGGTCCTCAACAGGGAGAGGCTTTGCCTCTGATGTCAGAGTTGGAAAGATGTAAAGGTCAAGCTGTTGGCTCCATCTTCCCTGCCATATGGTAAAGACCCATCTCCAAGTAGTAGACGGAATGAGGTCCGGGTGTGGGGCGCAAACAGAGAGGAGAGAGGAGAGGAGAGAGTGGGAGTAGCAGGAAGTCCAAATCCAGTCTCTGTGATCTGTGTTCCTATGGTCCCAGCAACTAATCCTAACCCTCCCAGGGCAGAGTGGGAGCCTCAATTGAAGCTTGTTGGGTTTCTGATCTTGACACCATCAGCCTTCCCTAATCCAGCGACTTCTGACACCAAAGCTCTAGGGTTCTTGCTTTCTTTCATTTGCAGCCTTTATTCCTAAGAGCATTAAAGAGAGGAGAGGAAATAATGGGAAGTTAACAGAGCAGGTGCCTGGCTGGGGACCCGCTAGAAGGACATTAGCAATCCCTGCTCCTAGCAGCAGGGTCCTCATTAAGCAATCACAAGTGTTGGATTATCTCTTCTGCGTGTGTGATTAAACACTTTACCTTCTCCAGTCAGGCAGAGCCACGTGACTGTCTGCGGGTGTCAATCATGATTGGAAAAGATGAGGACTACTTCTGAGAAGAAAATCTTTAAGCAGAGTGTGATTTTCTGGATCACTTTCCCAAGTCTCTGCAAGGAAGGTTTTATTAGTTTTGCACATAAAAGGGATCTTCATGAGAGAGCCCTGTGATGTTTTTTAGACAAAGAGCAATAAATATGTGGAGAAATGGCGAAGACCAATGAACAAAGGCAAAGACCAATGAACAATGACAAAGACCAATGAACAATGGGCCAGGGGAGTAAAGTCTAGGGTTGTTACCAAGAGATACATGTGGGGGTAGGTGAGCGCTTGTGGAAGATAAGGGTTCCTCCAGAGACGTTGTTTATACAGATTTGTTGCATCTCCAGTCATGAGTCTGTGGTGACAAGGCCTGGTAGGCAGAGGACATTCTTTCCGAAACAACCTTTGTGTCTTGATGCATGTAGGAAATTACAACCAAATGGCCCTTTCGAAAGTTACAGTGACATCAGTGTAAAATAGACAATATGACAATTTGGCTTACTTTGAGATGGCACAACCCTAACTTCAGTCTCTCTCTCTCTCTCTCTCTCTCTCTCTCTCTCTCTCTCTCTCTCTCTCTCTCTCTCTCTCTCTGTGTGTGTGTGTGTGTGTTGGTCATGCTGACAGAATCCAGGGTCTTACTTAAACCAGAAACTCTCTAACACTCTCTACCATTCTTTCTCATGCTCACTTGTACCCTACCACTGACCTACACAGCACATCCTAAAACATGTTTAATATGGAAATGAATGATGAAACTCGACAATTCAGGGATATTTCATCTTAATTTTTGAATTTTAAATCAGTCTCATCTAGGCAGGGCTTACAGGCAACAGTCTGCACATAATGAAAATACCTGTTGTAGATAGGGTTTTTATTGCTGTGAACAGACACCGTGACCATGACAATTCTTATAAAAGAAAACATTTAATTGGGGCTGGCTTACAGTTTCAGAGGTTTAGTCCATTATTGTCATGGCAGGAAGCATGGCGGCGTGCAGGCAGTCATGGTGCCGGAGAAGGAGCTGAGAGTTCTGCACCTGGATTGGCAGGCAGCAGGAAGAGAGTGCCATACTGCTGGACACAGCTTGAGCATCTGAGACCTCAAAGCCCACCCCTTAGGGACACACTTCCTCCAACAAGGCCACTCCTAATAGTGCCACTCCCTATGAGCCAGTGGGGGCTGTTTTTATTCAAAGCAACACAGAACCTCATCTGTAAAACTACACAGTCGTTTAAGATAATGAGCACACTCCTCACCCCAAGACTCCCTTGTGTGTCCCTGTAGGCCAGTGCTCCCATATGTCCCCACCATGAGTAACCTTTGGATGTCAAACTTCTGGGCTGAGAAGAAGAGCAAGCAACAACGGCCACAATTTCAAAAGCAAACTCTGGATTTGTGATGTGACCGTAAACGAAACAAAATGAAAGCTTTGTTTTCTTTTACCCAGGTATAACACTTCTTGAAGGCCACTGGGTAAAAGTACTCAGAAGAAATGACAGTGCTCCCAGGGACAAGGTCTCCTGCTGGGTCACCAGGAGGCAGACATTGCCCTTGACCCACAGTGGTCTAAGGAACTCTGGGAAGGCTTAGGGTTATCCCCAAAAGCATACTCTTTTCCAATCACAGCATGATGTTCCTGACTTGCTGGCTATAATGTATCATTCCCCCGCCTCTCCATGATTTAAAGCAGATTGGAACCTCTATTCTTGCCAAGGCTGGACCAGTTTTCTTACAGTATCTCTAGCATACCACACTTGGACCAAGCTCCAGCCTGGAAGCTTCAGTAGACACACTCATATCCTGTCCAAACCATTGATTTAGGAGCCATATCATGGTGGGTTTCAACAGTGAATGAGGAATGTAAGCTTTGTTCCAGAGGCAAGAGACACCCTAGAAGGATTTTAAACTGTATGTATCCAACTGGTCTACAAACTTAGAATGTGGGCCCTGGCGCAGGAGATACATGTGATGCACATACATGATATATCATACATAATTCACGAACCAACCACATTGTCTCCGATAGTGCTGGACACAGAGCATCACTGAATCATTACAGAGCAAATGAATGAATGGCTGTTTCTTTGTCTCCACTCCTCAGACGGCACTTTTTACTCAAGGCAAGGAGCCCTTAGGCTGAAGCTGTCAGTATTATGCCCGAGGCCCAGAAAGTTCTCAGAGGTCAGTAGAGTGAAAACTCAGGTCCCTTGCTCTGTGATTAATATGCTTTGTCCATTGAGATTTTATGGAAACCCCTTTCGCATATAATTGGCACACATCTTAAACTAACAATAAGATCAAGTATTATAAATGCTAGAGAAGACATGGTATCTAATAAAAAGGCAGCTTCAAACTGTGCTTTACATTTCCAAGATATTGGAAATACCCAGCTGTAGTTCTGGAGTGAAAATACAAGTCGATCAGAACAATGACAAAACTTCCTTAGAACAGGTAACCTTTACTGCACTTTCAAACTTTGCATGCTACTTCAAGCAACAACTAATTACTTACAAAATCTATCCTTTAAAATTATGTTTGTATCAAGTCAGGCAGTGACGGCACAACACCTTCAAACCCAGTACTCACCAGGCAGAAGCAGGTAGATCTATGTGTTTAAGGCCAGCCAGTTCCAGAAAAGTCAGTGCTGGACACAGAAACACTGTCTTGAAAAACCAATGTGTGTGTGTGTGTGTGTGTGTGTGTGTGTGTGTGTGTGTGTGTGTGTGTTTATACCTTAGAAAAGCACAACCAAATACCAAATTTGTTTGTACAGCTTTTATTCACTCACTAAACTATTTTCAAATGTTTCCCTCTCCTACCCAGTGCAAAAAATGAGGCTTCAACCTACTTTCCAGCACATCGCCACACATGAACTAAAAGAATGGCACTAACTAGACTTAATGCTTACACACACCACAGAGACCTCATGTGGAATTTGAGTTACGGGAAGCGTGGGGAACTACTAACCTGGATCATCTTGCGATCACAGCCAGTTACTTCTTGTCTTGTAAACCACGGCAGTTTCTTTCCTCAGAGAGCGACGGCTGTTTCTCATGACTCTCTCAACACATACGTAACATACATGTAACACACATGAAAGGAGCAGGAGTGAAGTCAGTGAGAGCCATCCCTAGCCCTTCGAAGGACCTGACGCTCAGGGTGAGTTACTGAAGGAAATACAGGCTCTACAAGGAAAAACAAAAACAGGCCAGTTACAAAGTAAGAATATGGAACCTGCTACTGCCAGGATGACCCTGTGACCTATGTATCAATCACTCAAGGAGGTGGGAACTACAAAGAAAGGCTAATATGTGGAATGTGCTAGAACTATCAGGTCAGTTTGTAAAATCAGTTTTTAATCTTTCTGTAAAGCAGGCAGTACTTTTACCCAAAATTATAAGTAGGGAAAGACATCTCTACATCTACTCAATACTATTGTTCCGCTAAAGGTATGCAGCAATAAAATGAGCCCTAATGACAGTCTGCTATACTCATATATAACGATATTTGATACTATATAGGGAAAACAATATATTTATTTACCAGAGAGAGGGAGTCGCACAGACCAGGAGTTAGAAGCATGGCTGGCTTCCAGGAGAAAAGGGAAGCCCCTTTTCCTTTTATCTCTACCTTGTCCCCGCCCTGATGGGTGGATAGCTTTGTGGGGTTCACTCCTACACTCATAGATCAGTGTCTCACTCAGCCATCTTCAGAGAAGCTTCCTCCTGCAGGAGTGGGAACTAATGAAGAGACCCACACCTGGACAAGGCACAGAGAAAGAGAGACCTTGCAACGCTCAGTCCTAAATGGGATGTCTCCATCAAACTCCTCTCCTCAGGACTCAGGGAGCTCTGCAGAAGAGGAGGTGGGGAGATTGGAAGACAAAGAAGATGGACGATACCAAGGAAACGGTCCCTCCCACACGCAACAGGGATGGTGTGTACACGACCTCACAGACACCTTGGCACAGGTCAAAGCTAGATGGGGCCCTGGCACTGAGAGAGAGAAATGGGCACCAACTCTCAAACTTACCCAAGAAGATACCTTCATTTTCTCCAAGGGAGTCTCACTGAGAATACAAACTACACCTAAAGGCAGGCTCCCTGCCTGGCAGTAGATGGCCAACATAAAACTAACTCAATGGTATTTCTGGAGATATTTTTTTTTGTCTCATATTGCTGTCAGGTATTTTTTTTTCCTTACTTGTTTTTTTGCTTGCATGTTATTGTGTCTGATTTTGTGTTTTTGTAGTTTTGTAGTATTGTTTGTTTGTTTGTGTGTGTGTGTATGTGTGCGTGCGCGCACATATGTGTGCATTTCTCAGCTCTTTGTTTTTTAAAAATTTGTTTTGTTTTATTCTGGTTTGTTGGATTGTTTGTTTTGCTTTGTTTTAATTGCCCATTTATCATCTGAAAAAAGAGAGAAAGAAGGCCTGGGGTTTGAAGTGTGGGGAGCTTGGGAGATGACAGAGGGGAACAATGGTCAGAATATATTGTATGAAAAAGAATAGTTTTCAGTAAAAATAAATTTTATTTGAGATAATATTACCAATTGCATTAGGTCATTCAGGGTCATATTTGTCCACAGTATCTATCACTCCCTTATAATTTTGATGAGCACCCCCAGTCAACCAGGATAGTTCATACTTATTTTTTAATTAGGTTATCAAAGAATCCATCAAAGGCTTTCAACAACTTAAAAAAAACAACTAAAAAAGCAAAAGTGACCTACACACCAAAAATCTCTTAGTAACATAGAGATTATGGGGGTAATGAATGAGATTCTAAGAGCAGCCTGGTGTCGGGGAGGAGTCCACTCCATAATCAATGCTTCTGTCTTCATTGCTGATCTTATACATGAGGCTACCAAGACTTCAGTCTCTATCAGCTGCCATTGTCTGTGCGGGGCAGATCCTTGTCTATGTTCTCCATACATAAAAGGTTACAACATACACCTTTTGGTACATGCAGCAAGTGTCAGGATGGCTGAGTGGGGTGCATGTGGCTTCCCCCACCTTTCTCTTGGTCTTGCCATGTGCATTATATCGGCAACATTGAATGTGCCACTTGAGCTCACAGAGAAGGTGACTCTGCAGTGGGACCGGCCCCTCCATTTCAAATTCAAGCATATTTATCTCAAAGTGTTCTCCAGGACCCATCCTCTGATCTGAAGCTCAGGGAAAAGAGAAGAGCAAAGCCCCTCAAGACTAAAACCAGAGCATGCAGTTGCCCACTGTCTAGACTCTAGCCTGATGCAGATCAGCAAAGAATAATGACTGAGTGGAAAAGGACTGACTGACGATGGAAAGCACAGATAGCAAGAGCTGCTTCTGCAGCTTGGCGCGACACAAACGCTGTGACTCCTAAATGATGACACAGGTGAAACAGTCTCAGAACTCTACACAGAAACTCCCCGAGATCCACCAGAGAGATCTCAGTCGAGAAGGGAAGGAGAGGAATGCAAGAGTTCCAACAGAATGCCCACGAAGCTGGGCTTGAAAACAACAAATACACCGCCCCCTCTGTGATTACAACGACGCCTGTCAGCTGTCTCTGAAGAAGCAGTCTATTGAAGGGAAGGGTACAGCAGGGGATGTGGGATTCTTTGTCTAAATGAACTTCTACTTTGGAGTGGAATATGATCCTCACAATCTAAATGAGTAGAATAACCTCCAGGTGGGGATTGTGAACATGGGAAGTTATGGGAGGAGGATGAGGACACGGGGACACACACACACACACACACACACACACACACACACACACACACAGAACCAAGAGTTCCAACACAGAGACCCGTTAACAGGTAACAGGTTGCTCCTCCACAGGCGATGGCTCAGTCTTCTTCGTGATAACTAGATTATAATTCATTTTGATTTCACAGATTAGAAAATGCCAGAAAAGAGCAAGAAAAATCAAATACAAAATTTAAGGGAAATGGAAATAGAGAGACCAGCTTCCCTGAGGCAATCCCTGCTGGTGTCAATTTGATAAAACCAGCTTCCAGTCTGTGCAGAGATCAAAGAATCAGATCTCACGATGGTTCCGACAGCAGTATCAGACACAATCACTCATCATTGTAGGAGTCAATGCCACAAAGCTACCCGCCCAAGAGGGCGGGGTCAAGGTAGAGATAAAAGGAAGTGAAAGGAAAAGGACCTTCCCTTTTTTTCTGCTGGAAGCCAGCCACGCTTCTGACTCCCAGCTTGTGCGACTCTCTCTCTCTGGTAAATAAATATTTTGTTTTCCCTATATAGTATCGAGTATCGTTATACATCATCCATCCGCTCTGCTGTCAGGATGAACAGTCACTCAGGGATGGGACGTGGGGCATTGTTCTACAAAGAGATTTTAAGTGAATGTCACAGTGCCTAACTAGAGACCAACAAATGCACAGATAATCTTAATTTTAGAGAGTGAAATGAAGGGGAAAATGCGAAGCTATTTTAGCATTTCCCACAAAATATATCTTGTGATACAATTAACTTCAAAGCAGACACTCTTGGTTTCATACCGGAAGCTGATAATATACGTGGGTCTCAGGAAAATTCCTTGTGTGTACAAAGTATAGGAAACCAGGCTGTCCAGGACATTGTTTTATGGGTTCTGTCCCCAACTTGCCTCTCCTGTGCATCTCCCCAAGTCCTATCCACTCCCTCAGTCTGAGGTTAGGCACTTACCTAGCCCAGGAGTCCCCTTTCCTTGTGGATTTTACAGCCCAGGAAAACCTCCAGGGTTATTTGCTTAACCGGGAAAAGCTGATATTTCAGTGAGATCTAGCTGATGACAGCTGATGACACAACACTTAAAGCTCAGCATTTACTGTCACCATAATTGCTCAGATTAAGGGAGAGTTTTACTCCCACAGAAGCTGGGGGACCCTAATTTCAGAGGAGAAACCTTTCTTTTCAAACTAAATAAAGGCTGGCTTTTTGAAAAGGCAGTCAAACCATTTTCAGTGTTTTTTAATCTCACCATGGACTGACGGCAACGTTTTCACAAACCAACCCTGCCGTAAAGAACTGAATTTTGGGACAGAGATAACTGCAATGGTGTCCTAACCCTTCCACCACCCCACCCCACATTCATAGCTGTGTGCTATGAAGCTCAGCCCGGCAGTCTCTTACTGTCAGCACTGACAAAAACAAAAAGTTCCCATATGTTAGCATGCCACGGAAAGGCAGCCATGCCTTTGGCCGGGGACAGCTTTCCTCATGACTCACCTGCCACACACATACACCTGAACTCTGTCACTGCCCCCGGGCAGAAGACAGATGGCAGTCCTGGGTTTCAGTGAGATGAGAACTTTACATCAGAATTAAGTCAGTGCTTGGCTTCTTTCATGAAGACAGAAAGGAAAGGACTCATGCACATTGGAGTACAAGTTTCCTGTTTAAGTGCTGCATCTTCCCACCTCCACATAGGACCTTCTGAATGTCTTCATGCTGTTTGTCTGTTCCATCTCTGCTTATCATTTCCTTTCTCCTCTGTATCACACAGAACGGAGGATCACCTTGTGCATATTCTCTATGGAGTTCTCCCGTCTGACAGATACCGCATTATATTATACAGACACACTTTGCTACCTGTGCTGAAGTAGATAGCCATTCTTTAGACCCATTGGCTGTCCAACACCAAGCTGCAATTTTTCCCAATTGTACTCTCTCTTAGGACATGCTCACAGTATGCAAAACCGGTGACACTGGGGGCCATGCCCATCTCCATAATCCCTGGAGTAGGGAAATTTCCTCACTCCCTGTGTACTGGAAGGATGGTTTAGTGGGTTAAATTGTGGCCCTCCAGAAAACGTCCAAATCATTGGAACTTATAAGAGGCAGCATATTTGGAAACATGAGTTTCGAGGGCTTCAAGATGAGATTATCCTGGTCATCCATGTCAGGCCTACATCCAAGGGCAAACGTCCTTACCGCCCACAGCAGAGGAGACGGAAGGAAGGGGAAGATGGAGGACTGTGATAGCAGGGAGGGAACCACAGCCAATGAACGTGGAGCCACAGCCATAGCAATGGTAGCACAGGTGAGGACTGGAACCTTCCATGGTGCATGGCTCTGCTGACAAGCTGATATAGAGTATTTGGAATTCAGAGCTCTGGAAGAGTCAGTTTTTATTACTTTAGGTCACTCAGTTTGTGGCTACATATTATGGCAGCCCTGGGAATCAAATCG